ATAGTCAGATAATCAGCGTTGTGTTTGTCTAATTACCAAATTACTTTCTTTGAATGTACTCATTGGGTTTGCTGTGAACCAGGTAAAACCGTTTCTTTGGATCCCAACATCAGCATTGTTGTTCCTGAGGAGAGAGATGGTCTTTATGCAATTGATTGCTTGGATCCTGATATGGTGAGTACACTATATAGTATATACCCACCTAATAGTCAGCATGTTATAATTTCAGCAGATTTTTTAACTGTATTTCTCATGTAAATTTGTGTTTTGACAGGTGATTGGGCGTGATAATGTATGCTATTTCCATGAAATGATAACTGAAATGACAAGCTGGGGATATCAAGAAGGAAAAACTCTTTTTGGATTTGGATATGATTTCCGACAAACCAACAGGTAAAAATAATAAAATATTGATTTCACTCGGTGAATATATTTCATCTTGTTTGTCAGAATATTCATGAGTATCGGGATCTTAATTCATATAGTATTTCATGGTAACTTTCAGACTTAAAGAAACAATGGATCGACTTGCTGCAAAGTTGGAAGCAATTTATACTGCTTCAGGTGGAAAAAAGATAACTGTAATTACTCATTCAATGGGTGGACTTCTTGTCAAATGTTTTATGAGCCTCCACAGTGATGTAAGTTTCCAGGTGGCATTTCATTTCATGTTAATGTTATACAAATGACTAAATGTAAAGTATGATATTTCTTTTTTACAGGTTTGTGAGAAATACATTAAGAGTTGGATAGCAATTGCTGCACCATTTCAGGGTAAGCAAAAGCAATTCAGTCAATTTTTAACTTTGAAAGTTATATTGAAACATATATAAAGATCTTGATATAATTATGATACATAAATGGTAATAGGTGCACCTGGATATGTGACATCTACCTTATTGAATGGGATGTCATTTGTGGATGGTTGGGAGGCCTACTTTTTTGTATCCAAGTGGAGTTTTCATCAGCTGGTATGGATTTTGTAACAGAATAGATAAAAAAATATATATATATATATATACATTTTTTATAATATGATATTTTAACAGGTGATTGAATGTCCATCCATATATGAATTAATGGCATGTTTGGATTATGAATGGGAACATGCTCCACTTTTACAAATTTGGAAAGAGATTCAAGATACTAATGGAAACTCTACTGCTATATTGGAGTCATTCACGCCAATTGAAGCAGTTTCCATCTTCACTCAGGCTCTTTCCTTCAATGAGGTGAACTTCTATTTATATTTAGTTATTTATTATATATATATATTTTTTAAATTATTGTTTATTATTACATTACAGCTGAGCATTGGTGGAATAGATATTCCTCTTCCATTCAACAAAGAAATATTGCAATGGGCTAACAAGACACGTGAGATCTTGTCTTCAACTAAACTTCCACCAAATGTTAAATTCTATAACGTTTATGGCACTGGTAGAGACACTCCTCAATCTGTATGGTATAAGTCAACTCTCTTTCTTCATATATTTTGTCATCAAGACATAATTTTTATATTTTTTTAAATCGTGTATAATAATATAATCCAATTGAGTTCAAGCTAATAAAGTTTGTTGCTGTGTGCACAGCTATGGAAGCGTAGACTCACCCATCTCCGACCTACAGGAATTACCACTATGCAGTGTAATGATCATTTACTGCATGTATAATTACTATTTTACCCTTGTATAGAAAAACACATTACATTTTAATAATTTGTAAGGTTTACTGTTTGTGTACAGGCCACTTATGTGAATGTGGAGGGTGATGGGACAGTGCCTCTGGAATCTGCAAAGGTAACTCAAAAAGTCATTTTTACCCCTTTTTTGGTGGCATACTCAGGGAAATGGACGATAAGGGCAAATTTGTAATTTTGGTAAAACAGGCTGATGGGCTGGATGCGGAAGCTAGGGTTGGCATCCCGGGTGAACACCGAGGAATCCTATGTGACAAACACCTCTTCCGGATAGTCAAACACTGGCTGAGAGCCGATCATGATCCTTTCTACAACCCTGTAAATGACTACGTGATCCTACCGACTTTATTCGAGGTTGAAAGGCACCATGACAATGGCAAGGGTATAGATGTAATTTCACTCAAAGAAGAATGGGAGCTTGTTTCGAAAGACGACCAAGAAGAAAACAAGAATGATATTCAACCGATGATCGGGTCGATTTCCGCTTCGTGTGAAGGAGATGAGGCGCGTGCAACTTTGATTGTTCATCCTCAAAGCAATGGGAAACAACATATTGAACTTAATGCCATGAGTGTTACTGCTGGTGGTGCATAAGTTTGGGCCAGGCCCAGTCCGGACTTTCTGGGCCCGGTCCAATCGTTGTGGACTTGTTGTTTCTGGTGGTTGTGTTGTGTATATATTTAAGTGCTTGTAATGAGTTTAAATGTGAATAAAGATGAAAGTGACGTTGGTTTATGTCATGTGTATTTATAATTCATGTTAACTAATGTTTCTTTTATGTGAATAGTCTTGACCCAAGTGTAATGTATTGTATGTATATTATCATTACGTATATTGTAGTGTATGTGATATCTATGAAGTGTCAATCAGTGTATTATGAGATCACCAACTACATACCAGTAATCTAGATGAAATTATGCTAAGTGTTGAAATGAACATATCTTAGAAGTTAGGATAGTTTTCTACATTTTCAACACAACTTGCAATATTACTTTTTCATGTTATCAACAATGTTGATCCATTTATCAGAATGTAAGACCTGTAAAATTTGTTATAAACCTGGGTAAGTTATTTAATATAGACCATGGTTTGACTTTTTTAATTTGAGGGAATGCATTCCAATTACAAGCCTTTCGGCTCATGCTTAAGTCGATATAAACGGACATTTTGAAAAAAGGTTTTACTGTTAGTTAAATATACGATAAATGTTTGATCTGTTTAAATCAAATTTATGAAGTCGTTTGAAATTAGGCTATAATTTAAAAAAAAAAAAAATACCGTGCATATGATTAAAAAAATCAAACATCAATAAAATATAAAATTGGTCGGCTCAACGGAAATCAAATATGACAAAAGAATTGGCAGGCATTATTTTTTTATTCGTAAAACCTTTTCAAAAGAAATATTTATTTATTGATAATACCTTTTTGTATTGTATACGTAGGTCGTGTTATAATAGTTTTTATTCACACATGTCGAGATAAAGATAAGGTTATTTGTAATTTTGTATTTGTATACATTATACCACTAAGTTATAACCCGTGTAAACCACGGTTAGTATAATTAAAATTTTTATATTGATAAAAAATAATAAATATCAAAAAACCTGAGATATTGTCGATTATAAGTAATTATGAATTAATTTGTTACGTAAAATAAACATAATAATATTATTAGGATATGATTTTGTATTTTCAAAATTTGAATTGAATTTAATTTGTTACAAAAAAAGGTAACAATAAAAATCATATAAAAATACCAAGTGTCAAAGAGATATTTTAAAAATCTGATGCATGTCATTTTTAGGTTTCATTTATTAGAAGAATTAGATTAGATAGATAGGTTATAATCTGTAGAAACCACAATCAGTATATTTAAAATTTTTATATAGATCAAAAAAATAATAAATTGAAAAAAAAACCTAAGACGTTGTCGATTATAAATAATTATGAATTAATTTGTTAAGCAAAATAAACATAATAATGTTGTTAGGATATGATTTTGTATTTTTAAAATTTGAATTGAATTTAATTTGCTACAAAAAAAGGTAATAATAAAAATCATACAAAAATGTCACGTGTCAATGAAACATTCTAAAAAACTGATACGTGTCATTTTTATGTTTCATTTATTAGAAGAGTTAGATTAGATTAGAGATATGTGAAAACATGACTTTATAAAAAAATTAATTTTATAGCCATAAAATTACATGTAGCAAAATAAATGAAAGCGTGACGTGGTAAAAACGATTTTTATTTATTAGAATAGATTTGAGATTATTTATATTTTCTTATAATATATGTTAATAAAATAAAGTTTATAAATTTTAGATATAATAATAAAATATATCTAAATAGTGGCATGTATATGTGGTTTTTATATATATTAGGAAATCTCGTTACCAAATGACTTGTAGCTCAGCGATATCCGGTGTCGCCTTCGTTCCCTCCTTGAGGTTGAGGGTTTAAGTCCCGTCGTGGATATAAGTGGATTTAAGGTGTAGTTTAGGAGTATGTTAGATTGTCGTTTTAAAAAAAAGGAAATCTCGTTGGTTATATATATATATATATATATATATATATATATATATATATATATATATATATATATATATATATATATATATATATATATATATATATATAAGGAAATCTCATACCTTACTTCAAAATTCAAATATCAAATTTAATACATATATTGATTTATTTGAATTTAAAAAACTAAATTAATAGAGAAAAATATGTAAGTTGTCATCACGTATCAACACGAGAATAAAATATAAAATTTTAAATCAATACTCTAGAAAAATAACATGCGGCACAAATTATTTTTATTTATTAAGATAGTATAGATTTTTATTTAGGTAAATTATTTAATTTAAATACTTATCTAAATTCTAAAGCACAAAGATGATGGGAAAATAACTAGTGTTTAAATTCTCCCTTGTATAATGTTTTAAAACGAACAATAATAAGGGAACACAAACAATCATATTTAGAAATATTATAATGTGTAAATAAAATATTCAGTTTTATTTATTATAAACCAAAAAGTCTTGATGTTTCATTCGTTTGACTTGGTCTTTGAATTTGTCTCTTGCTGGTGAGACCTCATCCCACGCGTCTATTCAATCCATATAATTCCTACTTGCTCTAATCATTATCTAACTCTATGATTAAACAAACCCCATTGTTTTAATAGAAAACAATTAAAAATCTCAATATCATTTGTTAATCCTAACTTTCTTTGACTTCTATTTCATTTTCTGAAACACCCATTTGAAATCAATCCCAAAAATCCAATGGAAAAAGGAGCAAGAAAACTTAGTGATGAATATGAAGTCACAACAATCTTGGGAAGAGGCGGGTTTTCTATTGTACGAAAAGGTATAAAGAAGTCAAAGGGCGAGTTTGAAGATGGTCAACAAGAAGTGGCAATCAAGACATTGAAAAGAGTTGGTGGTGGTGGTGGCGGCGGAGGTGGTGGTGGGGTGGTCGGATTTCCAAGCCGTAAGCAGGTTTTGATCTCGGACGCTTTGCTAGCGAACGAGATCATGGTAATGAAAAGAGTGGTGGAGGAGGTATCTCCTCACTGTAACGTCATACAACTACATGATGTTTGTGAGGACCCCACTGGGGTCCATCTGGTTTTGGAACTGTGTTCCGGTGGAGAGTTGTTTGACCGCATAGTGAGTCAAGAACGGTATTCCGAGGCGGAAGCCGCCAAGGTGGTGCAACAAATTGCTGGCGGTCTAGCAGCTCTCCACCATGCCAATGTGATTCATAGGGATTTGAAGCCGGAAAATTGTCTCTTTCTTGATAAAAGCAAAAATTCACCATTAAAAATAATGGATTTTGGGCTGAGCTCGGTTGAAGAGTTTACTGATCCAGTTGTGGGCTTGTTTGGGTCCATTGATTATGTGTCACCAGAAGCATTGGCCCAACAAAAGATAACATCCAAATCTGATATGTGGGCTTTGGGTGTCATTTTGTATATTCTCCTCTCAGGGTAAGTAAATTCTATCATTCATATTTCATACACTATGATTTATTATTGGCCAAAATAGATATAATTTTCGTACATGCCAAATGGATTGGATTAACATTTTATGTTCATTTTTTTTTAAATAATTAGTTTCTTGTAAATAAACCAAAAATTATTATGGATTGGTTCTTGATGATTTCAGGTATCCACCTTTTAGTGCCCAATCACATCTTCAGAAGCAACAAATGATTATGAATGTACGATCATTTAATCCGATTTTCTTGTTTTGGTTAAATGGACGATTTTATTACTTTTATAACCACAAGCAAATTTATACTGTTATCGCCATTATGTCATGTGTGTAGGGGAATTTTAGCTTTTATGACAAAACATGGAATAAGATTTCTTCATCGGCCAAGGACTTGATTTCTAGCTTACTAAATGTTGATCCTCAAAAACGACCAACTGCTACTCAGGTATCAACACTTTTGACCTTTTTTTTCCCCATAATAGTAACGTGCTTATATATGTTTTATTGATATTAACAATAACAATATGTAACTTGAAAGTGAAGCATGTTTTTTTTTTTTTTGGATATTTTAAGAGTAAAAGCCACTAATAGATGGATATTTAACATCTATAGATTCTTAAACATCCTTGGGTGATTGGAGATTCAGCAACCGCACGCCAAATTGATCCAGAGATTGTTTCGCGGTTACAGAGCTTCAATGCAAGGCGCAAGTTTCGTGCAGCAGCGATCGCAAGCATGTATACAAGCACCATTTTCTTGAGAACAAAGAAGCTCAAGAACTTGGTTGGATCTTATGATCTTAATAAAGAGGAGCTTCAAAATCTTAGAAATCATTTCAAAACATTGTAAGTGAATTCCGACACGGTTTTATTCATGTTAAATTGGTATGAACCACAAAATTGAAATTCCTTTGAACACATTTCATTCATTCCAAAAACATTTTAAAATTGAAATTGGTATGTTTGACTTTGTAGATGTGCAGATGGAGAAAACGCGACACTTAGTGAGTTCCAAGAGGTACTAAAAGCAATGAAAATGACGTCACTTATACCTTTAGCCGGACGAATCTTTGACCTTTTTGATAACAATCGCGATGGAACGGTTGATATGAGGGAGATACTTTGTGGCTTCTCAAGCCTCAAAAATCTCAAAGGAGACGATGCACTTCGCCTTTGTTTTCAGGTTTCCTCCCTTTCCTCTCAATAATCATATGAATAATCATGAAGAAAATCAAGAAAAGAATCAAGAACATGGAACTTTTGATAACTTCTGAATGGACAGCTGAACATGAAACATATCACCATTGTTATGTTATAATAGATTAAATAGTATTTGTTATTATTAAATTTTGAACTCTTTACAACTTCTGAATCGGCAACTGATATATAAATACATTTTTCATGTTTTAAAATTAGAACTATGTCATTTTTGGTAGTATACACGCAAACCTAAAAATAATCCTACCTAGGATCTTGATCTTGACTTAGTAACTTGCTTTTTGTTTTCCTAGTGTTACTTATAGTGATAATACACAACACATCACAACACGAATATTTAACAAAATATTAACACATACATTTTTTTTTTTTGTGACAGATGTATGACATGGATGGGTCGGGGTGTATCAGTAAAGAGGAAGTTGCATCAATGCTTCGGGTAAGTTTTGGCTTATAGTAATTTAGTTAATCAAAATATCATAGCTCCATACTTTCATTTCTTCCTATAATAGCAATATAATTTTAGTTTTTAGTTATTAAAACATTGTAGTTTGAAAAATCTACCTAGTGAAAACTATTTTATATTTGGATGACATTGCTACAATTGTGTACAAGTTTACATAAATGCTTTGGTTGATTTTGTTATTTGTGTAGGCATTACCGGATGACTGCCTAACTATTGACATCACAGAGCCTGGAAAACTAGATGAAATATTCGACCACATGGATGCCAATAGCGATGGAAAAGTAACATTTGATGAATTTAAAGCAGCCATGCAAAAAGATAGCTCGTTGCAAGATGTTGTCCTCTCTTCACTTCGCGCTAATTAACCATTTTCATGTCATTTCTTTTGTTATGTAAAAACATACATGATGTTGAAACGAATGGTGAGAATTTGCAAGTAAGATAGGACTTCGAAGTTTGTAATGAATCCCTCGGATACATTATTCATATGAATACACTTTGTAGTCATATCATTCTTATCATTTTGGTTTGATTTTATTCAAAGGGTTAATGTCATGAAATGAAAATCAATAGTAGATACTTTGCTATTTAGGTCACTTGTCTTATAATTGTATTCGTCACTAATATTTTTTTTTTGACTTCTCATACACCGTTATGGTAGATTTCAACCGAGTAAATTGGTATTGAATCCTATGTGGTGTCTACTGTAGGTTTGTGTGGCGTTGACACTCATAGAATTGCCCCATTGAAATGCACGATAACGGTGTAATGAGAAACTAGAAAAGAGTTTAGTGACCTATTGAATATAATTTTAGGATAAGTGATCTAATTAAAGAGTAAATTGTGTGTTATTGTTTTTCATTTTATGACGTTAATCCATTGTCCCTCTTATTGAAATGATGAACACCTTGTTCTTGTCCCTCATATTATTTCTTTTATCATCTTTTGGCCATTAAATTACAATCATTTTAGTTAATTTAAATCTAACAATCAGATATGCACCCTTTTTTCATCACATTTCCAAAAAAAACATCAAAGGAGAATGTATTCATTAGAAGCTATTTGATAAACAATGGCTTTCTAATGTAGTTCTTTTGTTGGTTGAATGCATTCAACCAGTTTCATCTCAACATTTTATGAGTAGGATGTTGATGTGGAAAACAATGTGATTAAAATGATTCCAGTGAAATATATTTGTGTTTCTTTGTTCTTGTTTTCTTCTTATGTGCTTTAATTTGTAGGTACACCTTGGAAACTTTATACATTTAAGAGACCATGTTACATTTTAGTTGACTTAGTCTTAGTTAACTAGTGTCTATGATTAAACAAAATATAGCAATTTCAAGTGAATATATCAATAAATACAAAATGAGTACTACATAGCTATTGTTCGTTAAAAGCATGTGAAGTAGAAAACCTAACACAAAAAGCATCAACAATAGGAGGAAAACATGTCACAGTTTAATGATTATTTTTTAGTCAAAAAAATTTTTTGAACGAAAAAATCTAGAAATATTAAAATAGTATCTCATATGGTGCTTGAATTCATGGTCAAGGTAACATGTATTGCCATTGCCTTTTGTAGTAATCACGTTTCTCTTTTATTTACTATGTTGATGTTTTGTTGATTGGTGGTTGTTTTTTTTGATATCTTGTTTATATTCTACTTGAACTAATATTATTTTAAGTTATTTGGATTCTTGGTGTGTTTTACACACATGATTACTGCAATTAATATTAGAGCAGGGATGGTTCTCTTTGGGTTGCCGCAGTGACACACCGACAACCTCTGTTTTTTCTGTACACAGTGTAAATTTTTAGATATTTTTTGATTTTTTTTTTCTTTCTTCTACTTACCGGCAACACCTACTACGGACCGGTAACACCTACTACAAAATCCTCCGTCCGTCCCTATATTAGAGCATACAGATTCTAGCCTTATTTTATTGGGATCATTTTATCAAGTGATGATCATGTCTACAATGAAGTATAATATTATGTTGTTGGATTAAGACACTAAGTATCCTCTATAGAAATTAAAAATGAGAGATATACCAACAAATGGATTTACAAGACACTTTTTAGTTTTGAGAAGATGCCCGATGAATGGTTTGATGAAGAAAAAGAGATGAAAGTTCTAAAGGCTTTATCCCAAATTCATTTGCACTTGTCAAACAATGTCTTGCAGGGTCTTTTGAAGGAAACTTCAACCACTTCTTTATGGATAAAGTTGGAGAAATTATTGATGACCATGAGCTTACCAATTAAGTTGCTTTTAAAGCAACGATTGTTCAATCTTAAAATGATTGAAGGGGGTTCTTTATAACAAAAGGTTTTCGGTTAAGAGTTTTATGAATTCTATGCATATGGCAAGAGAAAATGAGTGAGATTTAAGTGATGTTTGTTTTTTTGGAAAAAACATCTTCAGACCTTTTATTGGTGCGCATCGCAACAATTTTCATTTTGCAACTGTTTTTTTTTTTTTTTAAGTCTTTGTAGCAAAAAACCTATGTGCATGTTCTGTTTGGCGGAGCATTTGTATTGCCTCTTCCAACCCCCATTTTTTATGTTGCTGAAATCTTATTTCACTTTTTTTTTGTTTATTCTTGTTGATTTTTTTTTTCGTTTTTTTATATTGAATAATAGTAATTTCTTGATGAAATATCATTATTTTTTGCTAAAATATCTTTTTTTTGTTGAATTATCATTATTTTTCGATGAAATATCATAAACTGTTGCTAAAATGTCATACATTATTAAATTTTTGGTACTAAAAAACTATTTTAAGTTTTATAAAATCAGTTTATTCTAATTTTTTAGTATCTGCAGTAGCATGCAGATGTTAAAAAAAACAAACACGATTATTATTACAGTCTGCAACCTTTTGGTCCACCTCTCTACTACAGAGGGTTGCAGAGGTGATCCGTAAACTTCATGAATTTTTGTTTGTAAAAAAAACACCACCACCTTAAAGTTGTATTGATACAAAGCAAGGCCCACTTGACTATGTATACCCAGATTTATGGGGCCATCTCTAGTTGGCCATCTCTAGTTGCTTCAAAAGGTGGAACTAATTATATGCTTACTATCATTGATGATTTCTCAAAAAAAAAATATTGTCTTTCTTTTGTTTAATTTTTTTTTACTTCTAGAAATAAGAAAGTATAGGTTAAAAAACAATTAAGATTGGTTGTAGAGTACACACACAATGGACTTGTGTTTTGCTCAAAAGGGTCTAATGTCTAATACCACGAGGAAGACATCACTTAACATCACATGGTGGTCCATACATCTCGACAAAATGGTGTAGCCGATGAATCACAACATAATAGAGAAGGCCCAATGTATGCTTTATAATTCCAAATTTCAAAAGTCCTTTTAGGCAGAGTTTACATCAACTTCTTGTTATCTTATTAACCAATAATCGCTATAGGCAATTGAGAAGAAAAGTCTTTTTGAGTCATAGTCTGGGAAACCTTTCGATTCTATTTTTAAAACCTTTTGGATGTCCATATTCTGCACAAATTAACAGTTAGAAGTTAAAACCAAGAGCAATTAAATATGTTTTTCTTGGGTATAATCCAAGGGTAAAAGGATACAAGTTGTTAATTTTTCACTTGAAGAAGGTTATTATCTGAAGGGATGTTACCTTTTGATAGGCTATATTTTTGTGGTTTGGGCTAGGCATCATAATATATAGGTCTTGGTAGGATGATTAGAGTGTGTTGTGGTGATCATTGCATGTTAGTGGGTGTGTGCGGCCGTACACGTGTGTGCGGCTGCACACTTGTGTGCTGCTAATTGTGGTATAAATAGGCTGTGTCAGTGTGTCAGAAAAGGTGACGTATGTATGTGTACTTTTCAAGGTGTACCTGACATTTATACGTTATAGATGTGTGCATGCTTGACTTTATTCTCCTTCTACTCCTTCTATACCCTGTTTGATTGTTTGCAATTCATTGATTACTGATTTGGATCTAAGGATTGGGGCTTACAATTGGTATCAGAGCCAATTCAGTGTCAATTTGAAAGAATCATAGAGTGTGCGGTTGAAGATAATTGTGGTTTTTGAAGTGCATTCATACTTTTTGATTGAGAAACTGCTACTAATCACTGTTTTTACTAGTTTGGAATGAAAATTTGTTCAAAAATCTAGTATTTTTGAGTGTGCGGTTGGAGCCTTGAAGGTGTGCGGTTGAGGCCTTGAAGGTGTGTGGTTGAGTCCTTGAAGGTGTGCGGTTAAGTGTGCAGCTAGTGTGTGCGGTCAAGTGTGCAGCTAAGTGTGTGCGGTTAAGTGTGTGGTTGGGTGTGCGGTTAAGTGTACGGCTGAGTGCACGGTTAGAGTGTACTGTTGGTGTGTGCGGTTGTAGTGTGTGTTGTTGTCGTGTGCGGCTGAAGTGTGTGGTTGCACTCATCCTAATTAACGAAGTTTTTGTTGATTTCTAAAACATGGAATCTCAAAGCATGTCAGCTCACCATGAATTGGATGCAATTATGGGAACCACTTCTCGAATGCCACGACTGTTATCTGTGGAAGGATTTCCAGAATGGAAATATTGGATCGAAAAGTACATCAAAATGAAGGATTTCAAGATATGGCGAAGTATTCTTAGAGGACCAATCCGCATTACAACTACATTGGAAGATGGAACCATAATTGATAAGCAAGTTGAGAACTACACCGGTGATGATTTCGAGAGAGTCGAGGAGCAGGAAAAAGGATCTTGCTACACTAACCATGGCATTATCTCTGGAAATCACTCAAGGTTTCCGTGAGTATACATCAACAAAAGCCTTATAGGAAGCACTGATAGAAGTCTATGAAGGCAACGAAGACATGAAACATAGTCGCCAAGACATGCTGCGACAAAATTTCAATATGTTTAACTATGTCTTGGGAGAAACACTTGAGAATCAGTTGCAAAGGTTTATCAAACTCACCACAGAAATGAGCTCTGCTGGTGTGATGGTTACAAGATCGGAAATAAAAAAAAAGCTGCTGAACTCTCTATCAAAATCCTGGGATATGAGTGTCTCCGTGATTAAGAAGACCAAAGATTTGAACCGTTTAAGTTTGGATGAAATGATGGAGATCATCAAGGCTTGTGATCTCGATGATAAGCAAAGGGAGATTAACCATGTCAATTCATACTCCACTAAAATCTTGGGATCCAAACCACTAACAATACTACTTTCTCAAGCTTTTCTACGCCTCAAGCTCCTCAAGTTCATGTTCCTCAAGTTCAACCTTATGTGACTCATCAACCCCATCTCATACATTACACCTCAAATGCAACACATTCAAATTCCTCAACCTCAAACTTCAGCTCAACAAGTTGGCTCTAATATTGGTTCATCCACAGCTGCACCAGTTCAATCTCATAAAATCAGTCCTCAAGCCTCATCTTTGAAAGAAAAGGAAGAAAATCTCGCCCTCGCCACTGGTTTGGTAAACTGCTACAACGCTTTTGTGGCCATAGAACTCCCTCCACAACTCTCATTTGCTGACCTAGAACAGATTCATCCTGAGGATGTAGAAAAGATGGAAATTACATGGAAAATGGCCATGGCGGTCTTCAGGGCAAAACAGTTCTC